AGCCTGACAGAGTTGAAGAAGCATTTGGACAATGCTCTTGGACACATGATGTGACTCTTGGGATGGTCCTGTGCAGGACCAGGAGTGGGACTCGATGATCCTTGTGGGTCCCTTCCCACACAGTTTATTCTGTGATTCTATAGCTGTAATATTTAAGAAAAGGTAAAGCTGGAATCTCCAGAGACTCAAAAGTGAGATCTGTTTATGGGTCTTGGAATGGGTGTTTAACATATGGAAATCCAAATTATCTTGCAGCTCAATGATTTGTAAGTTCTGAAAGAGAATCTCTGGATGAGTTCCTTGCACTTCTTTGTTCCACGATTTCAAACAATTGGGAAAGGAAACAAAGTCATAGCCAGTCTTCAGGGAGACTTTGCTCAAAAATGATCAGTGTGTGCTCTCAGTGAGTTGATGGCTCCAAAGAAGAGCTGTCTCTGCAGAGCCAGCTGACAAGCAGATGTGTAAGCACAATTTGAGATCTCAAGGATGAGGCTGCAAGCAAGATGGGAAGGTAGAATCTCCAGGAAATGAAAACTGAAGTGGCAACCCATGTCCATCCTTTGGGGTTATGTTCATGGTGATAACTTCTTATAGCCATTGTGCAAAGCCACTTCTCTTCACTTGAAGACAATTTTCTCTGTTTCTTTTTCTCCTAGGCGTCTGGATGCCAACCACATCAACTATGTACCCCCCAACTGCTTCAATGGCTTGGTCTCCCTTAGACACCTGTGGCTAGATGATAATTCATTGACAGAAATTCCTGTCCAAGCTTTTAGGAGTTTACCAGCACTTCAGGCAATGACATTGGCACTGAATAAAATACATTACATACCAGACTATGCCTTTGGAAACCTCTCCAGTCTGGTAGTTCTGTAAGTTCTATTGATTGCTTTTTATACACAGTGTCTTCTTGCAGGGCTTTGGCCTCTTGGAGAAACAGATTTTATTGCATCTTTGTACTAGCATTTTCTAAATCACTTCTTTTGATCTAGCTTAAAAGTTTCCATCTCAATAAAAAAATACTCAAGGGAATTAAAAATCACCCTATCTGGTCAGCAAAACAAACAGGAAGGGATGCATTGTGTGCTATCTAAGATTGAAAGAGGGAAGATTAGAAACAGGAAATGAACGGAAATCTTTCTGGGGGACTTGGAAAGAATGCCATCCAGTAGAAAAAAATATGTATTTCCTGTCATAGAAAGTATATGTAGTTTTGTATTTGGTTATGTTTGCATACCGGTTCAACTAAGTGAAACATGCACGGCTGGCACCAAAATCTGGAAGGCATACTATGAATCATGGTTTCAGCTTCTTATCTTCTGGGAATTTACCAAGTGGAAAAAATCTAGACTGGCTGGAGAAACTTAAGTGGAGAGGTAATTTCAGGATGCTTTGGAAAACATTAGCATTATTAAAGAGAGAATTAAATTATAGGCTGCCAGAAACCATGGTCTTATATATAAGACACGTAGCATGTTGTAGCATACTCAAGCCCCAGTGTAAGCGTTGAACCTGGCACACATCAGGGCTCTTCATTGACAGCTATAGTCACTATCTCTGCCTCCATGGGGCCCCAAAAATGAGGATTAACACCTGATTTGTGCTGCAAAGCCTTTACCTTCTCTTTACATTAAATATCAATACCATTCAAGTTAAAGAATGTCTGGACTTGTGATTTGATTGACCTTCTAGACTTACATCAGCAATGGAAAAGACAAGAGGCTGTTTTGAGCTCTGTTCTCTAGACCCCGTACCTGAAATAGAGTGGTTAAGAGCACAGTTAAGAAATGCAGGAGAACATAATTTCTTTTCAGGCCATACTTGCTTCTGCTCAGTTAGGTTTCCTTATTTAAGCTCTGCCTTGCTTAGTTCTAATCTTCTGGGCTTTATAGTGATTAATAAATGAATCATTCCTCATGACCTAAAACAGCTGATCTTTTTGGCTCATCAAAATATTTGTGTGTGGTTCTGCATTCATTGGGTTGCGACTCTATACAGTATGGCAAATTTTCAACACGGTGCAAAAGTGCATGGTCAATTGGAGCAGGTCAAAATCTTTATAATTAAAGATCCAAACATAATTAGAATTTGAAGATGCACTCTTCATGCTAACTAAAGTATTAAAGGTCAGAGTACTCATAAAAAAATACAGAGTTGATTAGGTTTCTTCCTAGAAAAGGAAAAACCCAGACTATTTTTATTTTGATGTCAGAATCCTTGCCTTTGATGGATAGATAGACTCAGTTTCTCTAGATTCTGCAGAACATTCGGAGAGCCTCTGATCTTTAACAATATTTTTGGAGTAAAATGAGGGGCCTGGCAGCCACTCATTCACAGCCTTTCTTTTCTCTTAAAGCCCTTCTCCCTTAGTTCCCTCCACTACAGGGGTAGGATTTTGAGGACAAAATAAAAGGAAAAATCTGGGGAAAAGGCATACCTTTTAAATTAAATGACCTGAAGTGGATACAAGTTGAATCTAACCACATTAATGAGCTTCACTCAGAGTGTTTTTTTTCTATGTCAGTCTAAAAGGCAGAAAGAGGCAGAACTCAGAGTCTTGGGATGGGACAGGGGGTGGGTAGAATTGGTTAAAATATATAAAAATTACTTTCAATTACTGAATATTTTAGGAAGGAGTTATTGATTTTCATAATTTCAAAGAAAGGCAAGTTACAGCACTTCTAAGATTACTTAGTTCACTCATCTCAGAGAAGCTACAACTTTTTGTGTTATGGCTTTGTGCTTTTTTGCATTCTGCAAGCCTGATGCCCCTTACCTGTCTGCTGTGTTACCCATCTCCTCAGTGGCTGCTCTTTTGGGCCATACCCTCTAACACGCTCAGAATATATATCTTCCAGATATACACCTCACACCCCACACACAGTTTTTAAGACATGTTACTTAACTGATTAGCTATCACTGAGAATATGTCTGTTCATTTTGCAAACCCCAGCCTGGAACTACAGGATATAACACTTTTGAACAATCTAGGTGGTTTTAAAACAGATTCCCCCTGTGAAACCAAATGGAGAGGTGTTGGGAGAATGGGTGGAGGGTGGTAGAGCTGCCTCCTACACATGCTTTTGCAAAAGCATGGTTGCATATAACCAATGCATCCCTGGAAATAAGTTAATTTTGATTTAACTATCAAAATGTTTTGCTTTAGTCCACTGTGTGCAGTGTGCTTTCCTGACTGCATACTTAATGTTCCCCTGCAGACATCTCCATAACAATAGAATCTATTCCCTGGGAAAGAAATGCTTTGATGGGCTCCACAGCCTAGAGACATTGTGAGTTGACCTCTTATTTGTTTCTTTTTTTTTTTTTTAGAGTGTTTTCATTAATATTCTGAAAGAATAAAAATAGCCCAAAAGCCAAATGTGGGTTTGGGCTTGCCTAATTGCTACAGGATCTAAGTGATAGTTCACAATGACTCTGTGTAGTAAATCCTATTTTTGACAATAAAATTAGTTTGCCTTTTTAATAAGCATTGTCAGTTGATAAATTGTTTGAAAGACAGTTGAAAACTGTGTTGAGCATATAAAAAGAAGTGACTATTCATGAACTTAATGGTTGCCTAGTTTAGTACTATTTATTTGTCTTGTTCAATCAATAAAGCTAATAGCTAGATTGGGAAATTGCCACAGTGAAAAGTTTTAACATTAAGAAACCGTCTTACCATAGAGGAAAGTTATAAAATTAGGTAGGTTTATTTTTTATATGTGGAAAAAGCAAAAGTTCTAGGTAGTCAAATTATGCATGTGCTTTACAAGTGGGAGAAATACTTCAGTTGTATCCAAGGTTTTGTCTTCAGAGAGCTCTGATAAAGAATATCACTGGTAAAGACTGAAACTTCCTCAGATTTTCACTGTAATTCTGTTTAGACCAATTCAAATTTTCTTAAGTTATCTAGCAAAAATATATTCTACATAAAATACCAAACAGGAATGCAGTGCTAATGGTTAGCAGAAATTATTTTGCTACAGTTAGTCAAATACAGATGTTGTCTTCTGGAGTCACCGAGACCCCAGAGATGCCACAGGGACAGTAAAACTGCATGTGCTTCCTCCCGCACCTGCTGCAGTCAGCTGCATAATTTTCAATGATTTTGGATGTTTTACCCAACCAGGATAGAGGTTAAAAACCCAGTTATGAGAAACAAATAGTTTCAGACATGGATATTCCTAGTCTAAAGGTGACTGTTTGCTTTCCCATCAGCAAACCTGTGTCCTGCCCACATTCAGCTTTCACTAAGATTAGGAAGCAAGAAGGTTTGGGCTTCTTGGGTTTTTTTATCACCAGTTTGATTGCCTTGATCCCTTGCCACTGAATTGCAATTTTACAATTTGGACTTTTAGCCGCCTGTGAGTTGAGAGGAAGTCCCTTAGTGTAGCACCGGAAAGGGGGACGGGAAAGGAAGAAGGAAAATGTAATGGTTTGGTTTGTTTATTTAAGTGATATTCACATGGCACTTGGTCACAAATGGGGAAAAACAGAACAATAGAGTAAGTAATTGCAAACCCAGTCCCAGCCACCTGGCATGAGAGAGATGGAAACACAGAGGACAGTCACAAACCCAGGAATAAATGTAGGTGCAGCCACTTCCCTGCAACAGGACAGTGTAGCACTTGCCTCAAGCACAGTAATTGCATAATGTATAGACCAGTTCCCAGATAGTCTCAAGATAATCTGAAGAGATCTTGGTGTAAATGATGGACGCCAGTTTTAAGATGGTTTGTTTGCATGGAGGGGTAGGTCTGGAAATCACATATCACTAGAGGGCAAAACCAAACCGTACATGCCTGTAATCTCTTTTTGTCAATAAGCAGGAGAGATTTACAAGCAGGAAGGAAAGCCTTGTTGAGTTCAGACAGCAGTTTCCTGCCTGCATTACTTCAGCCTGATACTATTTCAATTTCAATCTATTGTAAACTGTGGCTTGGGTTTTGCCTTTTTAAAAAGGCTTTTGCTCCAGTTTTTCAGACAATTTTCCTCACAAAACATTTCCAGAGCACATCACAGTAAACTGGCATATCTCAATTTTAGTTTCAGCCATCTCCTAAATGCTAAAGGATACATATGTCATGCTGAGGGCAAAAGAAGGATTGTAATCCATTCAGCCTACCAGAATAAAGTCTAATTACTGCTGCAGCATGAGCACTTCTTAAAGCAGAGGTCACTAATGTAGCTACACTATCGTTTTTACAATTTGTGTGGTTAGAAGTATTCTCTTGACTGTTGTCAAGTCTTAAAATTAACAATACAGTTAGAAATCTTAATAAAGAAATGTATTAGACATGTAAAGCACAGATCACCAGTCACTGAATATTCTTTTGAAAGATTTCTTTCCCTGTTAATACTTTAATGTAATGCAAGGAATGGGCAATTTATAAAACATCAAATGCCTTAGTAGTACTCGAATTTACTTGTATTTTCTTTATTACAGAATATCTAAAATGTAACTAAAAATAGAATGCTGATAAAAAATAGAAACAATAATGTGCTCTAAATAGACTTTGTTGGAAAATATCCATACACTTTTGAGGATTTCCTGTCTTTGCTGTATGCATTTATTCAATACATCGAAGATGATAGTTCATTACAAATGCCAACAATTCTATGTTATCTGTTATGTAGTGCATAACCGAAATAATAAAATCTATTTTCATACAGAGATTTAAATTACAACAGTCTGGATGAGTTCCCCACTGCTATCAGGACACTAACAAACCTAAAAGAACTGTAAGTACAGAGCTCATATTAAGAAGAAGGATGTTTTGTCTAGTGTATGATTTTTTTTTTAATGCTGGTGATTTTATCAGTAGTCCTTAAAAACCGATATCCTAGGAAAAACTAATAAGCATGCCAACATACATAAAAAATAATTTTAAATGTTCAGTTTAGACCATTCAAGTTTTGACAGCTTTTACTTTTATATTGCCTTGTGCAGTGAGTCTTTTCCAGGAACTTCCTCTTTGGAATACAGTAAATAACAAACACAATTAATTCACTTTTAGTCCCAAACACAAGAGTTAGATTTTGTAAACTATCCAAATAATATATTAGTCTTCTAGCTAAGAAGGCATGGCATCTTTATTAGTCCATGAGGTTTAATTAAACTTTACCAACTTCCCTCCCTCACCTCTATTAAATTAAAGCAGTTTCTTTTCAATATATATAGTCAGTTCTTTGTAATGTTGTGAACACTTTGTAATGTTGTTCAATGTTTGTAATGTTGTGTTTGAATGTGTGTGAACACTTTTTTGTGCACAGGCTTAGTTTGCATCAAGAATATCAACAAATTTAATGATTCAAATTTATTTTGAAAAATGGTTGAATTATTAAAAATTAAAATTAGTTCAATTACGTTCACACATCATACACATTAATGCATATGTTCAGAAATCTTTCCATTTGACTTATTTACCATGTTAGGGGTACTACCAGCATAGATTTTTGACAAAAATAAGTAATCATATACTAGTTGGACATGGTTGTACCCCTGCTACACCAAAAACTGGTCTAAAAACCAATTTTAAGTAGCCACCTGAGATTCTTTCCAGAACAGGTACCCTCAGATACTGTGGACTCCTGCTCAGCACCTCCAGTGTTGCCAGAATGCAGCTCTGGAAGAGCCATCAGAGCTGGGAGTTTCCCAGCCCAAACATTCTCAGCTGCTGTTTATGCCATAAAATAAATGGTATGAAATCCAGTGACCTCAGAGGATTGCCTTTTTGATGACCTCTGGAGTCAGTAGGCAAAAATGGGTATCTCAGTTTGCACCAAATGCACCAGCAAAGTGCCTGATGTGCCTGAGGTTATGTACTGGCCCCCACAGGATTTCACCTCTAAGTATCAACTATGTGCAGAAACATTTGGGGTCTGAAATTGCAACCTGACATCCCAAATCCAGCACAGTTCATGAGACCATGTGGTTCTGTGCTTTGTGTGGGCCCTGGGAGCTGATCTTGTAAGGTTGGGATGTCTTCCACAGAGCGCAGTGGAAGCCCAGCCCCACAGAGGCCCAGCTCATTGCAGGGCTACCTCAGTAAAGGTGTTCTGGGTGGGACCTCGTGTCTCTCTCGGACTTTGTGCCTGGGCTGAAAACACAAACTGTGACCTTTTTGTGCACAGCTAGTGGCAGATTACCTTTGTGAGGTTGTCATGCCATCTCCTTGGTTTTTTTCTGCCACGCAAGACATCCCATTCAAATCCAGTCAGTTTACTGGTTCTAGTTGAGTTTCCCGTTCTGCTTGGAACCTGCATGCAAAGATGACAGGGATGTAAAGCCTTGATCTGTAGCTCATCACCAGTAGCACGATGCCTAAAGAACTAAAACCAATAGTGTGGGACCTGTTCAAGTAATGGCCAAGGGTGCTTGCATCAGTGAACAATTGGAGGCTTAGTAATGCATAAATTTAAGCTGGGAAGCCTTCTTCATACCCGACTGAACTAATGGGAGTTTCCCACACAAATCATCATTGTTCTTTTGAAATCTTAGTTGTTCCTTTTGTTTTTCACAATAGAGAATTACTCATATGAATGAAATCCAGTAATTAATGATGAGACAAAGATTTGGCTCTCTATTCAGCAGGCTCAAATACATTTTGTTTGTGTCCACATTTAAAATACCCCAACAAAAATGTGGTTGTGGGAAGATCAACATTACAATATAGTGTATAAAATAATTTCCTTGATAAACTTGTGCCATCCAGCAAAATAAATACTTGCAGTTTAACAAGCACAGGGGGAAATATATTGTTAGCTTCTTAATAATTAATATCTAACTATTGATATTCTTAGTTCATATACATGTGTGTATTTACATAGTATCTATATACATACATGCATATAACTCTGAATTTTAAAATGCCATTTCGAAGTTGACTTCGTCTGGTTTTGTTCATTTAGACAAGTGCAGAATTTCAGCAGTTTTTGTCTTTTCTCTCTCCTCTCCTCTCCTCTCCTCTCCTCGAGTCTCCTCTCCTCGAGTCTCCTCTCCTCTCCTCGAGTCTCCTCTCCTCTCCTCGAGTCTCCTCTCCTCGAGTCTCCTCGAGTCTCCTCGAGTCGAGTCTCCTCGAGTCTCCTCGAGTCGAGTCTCCTCTCCTCTCCTCGAGTCTCCTCGAGTCGAGTCTCCTCGAGTCGAGTCTCCTCTCCTCTTTTTCCTTTGCTTTGTTTTTTTTCAGTTCTGTCTTATTCCAGAAAACAAGGATATATCTTTACATACAGAGATTTTTCTTTCTACAAAAAAAAAACCCGTCACTGTGCACTATGAATACAGACTGGGTCTTCACTTTTTTTTTCCTTACCATATAAACAGTTTTCTCTTTGTAGGGGATTTCATAGCAATAACATCAAGTCAATACCTGAGCGTGCATTTGTGGGTAATCCTTCACTTATTACAATGTAAGTGATAAGAATCTTTTCAATGACTCTTTGTATTAAAGAATGTTGAACTAAGTATCAATTTTGTCTAATTGTCAAATAGCTTTTCTTGTGAGTACACTTTGTAGCACATTCAAGCAAACAAGTTCATATCTTTTTAGCTTCATGGAAAGAATGGCAGTTTTCAAGCCTGTTAAAGGGAAGCAAGTAGTGGTCTCTGGCCTTTGACCTTTTATTTGAATGGTTACTTCTAAATATCTTAGCATTCCTGGCAGCATAAAAGCTGGTAAAAATTGCTCTTGATGGACTCCAGTCTGAATTCCCATCGTCTTACATGAAAATGCATTTAATGGACAGCTTCAAATTAAGAAATTGCAAAATAAGTGTAAGAAAAATAATGACTCATCTTGAGTAATATGCCATGAGCAAAAGCAGCATGACTTCAAAAGGGCAAGGGAACCTCTTCTGAATAGGGGAAGTTCTGACTTCTTCATGTGCTATCCTTAAATTTGTCTCGGGTCATAACAAAATTCTTCATATGTTAAATTTTGTCTTTGCAAACCTGGGAGGAAGAGAGAAGATTTTGTTGACTGGATTCTGGCATTAAAACAGGAAAACAGTGGCTACTTGAATGTTCAAAATGTGACATGTGGGTGGTGAATATAGACTAGAGGGTGAGAAAAGCCCAAAAGTTCTGCTACAACCAGAGGGGCAGTCTGTGATTCATCCTAGAGAGTTTACTCATTTGTTTATAATAATAAATTTAGAATATTTTAAAATATTTTTCATTAAATGTCTTTTTATCCTTTCTTTTCAGACATTTTTATGATAATCCTATCCAGCTCGTTGGAAAATCTGCTTTTCAACATTTACCAGAACTAAGAACTTTGTATGTGTTTACTTTTTATTTTAGTTTTCTTTTTATATTGCCATACTAGATTTGTTCCACATTTCCATCACCATAATTTTATTGAAATTGTTTTTTAAATTGTAGAACTTTAAATGGTGCTTCACAGTTAACAGAGTTTCCTGATCTGACAGGAACTACAAGTCTGGAGAGTTTGTAAGTGCTAAAGAAGTATTTTTACTTTGTTTTATTTTCTTACTGACTTATTGTAAAGAATGTCTTAAAAATTTTTTTGCAATCTTCAAGAAGTAATTTTTTTTCATAAATTCTTTCAACAGGACACTCACAGGAGCACAGATCACCTCTCTCCCCAAATCAGCTTGTGACCAGTTACCTAATCTCCAAGTGCTGTACGTTTCAGTAAGATTATTAACATAACATTAATGCAAGAGATTAATAGACAAATGAAACTAATATGATTTCAAAATTACCCAATTACTGCTATTTCTGTGTATCACGTTACTTCTTAGGAATTCAGCTCAGGGAATTGGCCCCTGTGTTATTTAAAAAGTTTATAACCCACTTGCCAATCAGGATTTCCCATACATTGCTGAGAAAGATAATTGCGTAGCATATTTTTAGGAAAAGACAAGAAGGTTCTTGATTTTATTTTTAAAAAGACAGAACTACCTTTTTTTCATTCATTCTGTCTATCCTACAGTAGTTTGGTATTTTTTTCTCACTAAGGCAAATAATTCATTGAAGTGAATAGAAAATACAAGTAAGGACTGCAGTTTTGAGTGCTTGTTATGCTCCTCTTTTAGTTTCTTTCCCAACCAGACATAAGTAGCTGACTGAAATTTTAATAGACTATTCCTTGGCATAGCTGGGCATATTTGGTATGCTAAATATACAATATTATTTTAGCTTGGAAATTTCCTTGGAGTTTGCTTAATCACTAACGAAAGTAATCGTTGTGTCCAGTTCTTTGAGAATGAGCCAAGAGCACTTTCCTCTATGTATTACATCACTAGGAATCTATTTGGTCTTAATTCTCTGGCCAACATTGAAATAGCACTAATTATAATGCATTTTTTGAATACCAGAGTGAATGTCAAGAACCTTTCCAGAAAAAAATAAGTTTTAGTTAATGGACTCAATATAATCATTTCCAGAATGATAAAAGACAGTCTGTTGCCAGAAAAAGCTCTGCATACAGAATTAAGTTTAAATATGTCCTGTAACATTCAAAAAGCAATAAATAATCTCAAAACAAAGGGAAAACAAATACAGCAATTAATAACTTACAGAGTTCATAGTAGAGTAGGACTGTCCATTGGAAATTCACATTTTTTATTTTTGAGTATTACCTTATATGATTTGAGCTGATACTGAGAAGGGAACTGATTTATCAGCAATTTCAAGTACTCAAGAGCTGCCCCTTCCCCATTGCTGCCAGGTTGGACTGCTGAGTCCCCATTTTGGTTTGCGCATCAGTTTTGGCTGTGCCATGGAGGATAATAGTGCACTGAACCTACCCACGCCTTACAGGGGCTCCCTGGCTCAGATACACTCACAAACAATACAAGTGCAAACACTGTATTTAATTTTTTTATATAAAATTAAATATTTTAATATTTAAAGGCAATTTGTGCATCCTACCCAGCCACCAGTACGTCCAAATGTGGATTAATGTAACAAGGCTTCCTGGATGCGTGCACACCTGCAGTAAAGGTGTATGTGAGACCACAGTCCCAGCAGCCCTCAGCACAGCTGGGCATGCACCTCAGCACAGGAAACAAAACCACTGGCCCTCTGCTGCTGCCAAGATCCTCATGTATCAAGAAAGTGGGGAAAAAACCCTTAAAAATAAACAAGCTAAATATTTCCTGGAGTTCTGACAGAAACGGAGGGGAGAAGGGTCTCAAGTTCAGGGTTTTTTCCATGTGTGAGCAAGGAGTGTCAGTATGTACAAAATTCAAGCTGGTAACATATTTTTAAGAAGACCTAAGTGGATTACAGAATAGCCAGTGTCTGCCAGACACACAAAACATCCTTTACCTTGGCCTAAAAGCCTCTACTCTAGTTCACTTGAACCTTCCCATGTAATGTCTGATTTGGGCAACAGTGTACCTTTTTTTGGTAAACAAAAAGAAAATTTAAAAAAAAAAAAGAAAATTATAAAAAAAAAAAACAACTCTAAACATATTGATATTTGCTTTAGTATAGAGTAAACTCAGTAGAATACCTTAAAGACACACACAGTCAATACTTGCACTGCTTCCACTAATCAAATATAAAATAGTCCAAATGCTCCTGTTGGAACAATAGTAGTGAAAATACAGTTTTACCAAGGGATTAAATAGGTGGAGATGAACCAGTTTTAGAGAATTTGAGAAGTGAGAAGAATCTCACAAAGTGAAAAGTGAATCTTTTTCATGTGATAATACTGGATAACTGTGAAAAGGGACATTTTTCCTAATTTTAGGCATAGACTTTTTTCTCTATTCTTTTCACATGTAGATTTCCCATTTAGTTTTCTCTGTGCAACACACACACACACACACACACACACACATATATATGTATATATGTATATATATTGGATGAGACTCTTGGGTGGTGGGGGCTGGTGTTTGGTTCCTTTTTTTTTTCCCCCCTCTACTTTCTGTAAATTGCCTGGGCTTGGTTTTGATTAGTTGTATTATACTGTAAATCAGTCCAGATGTTTCTGTTATTCTGTAATTTGTTGAGTTTTGGCTCAAGTCTTTTTAAGGCTTTTCTTCCCGCCATGTAGTGATTGATTTCAAAGTTAGTTCAAATATTTTTTGACCATTTCCCTCAGTTATAAGATGTAGCAGTCTAAGAGGCAATACTGCTTATTAAAAGTATAGAATGGGAAGCTGATTGTGACTCTTACTAGAAAAATACAGGATCTTCTCTAAAAAAATATGAGTATATATGCTTAGTAGGTTGTTTAAAATTGTTAAAATATTTATCAGAATTTAAACATGATTACATGAAGTCTGTGATAGAAATCCAGATGGCTGATATCATTGCTGTAAAGCACACAGCAGAAGTCTACACTTCAGGCAGGAAATCTTCAGACAATGCAAGTAATTTACAAATGTGGATATGGAGTTAATCTATCTTGCCTTTCCCCCTCCTCTTCAGCTAGAAATCAGAATGTGACAGATGAGAAATAAGTGAGTTTGTACACTTCCATTCTGCTGTGATTGGGGATAAAAAGGAATTATTTTTAATTGAGCACGAAGCTACAGAATAAAAGTTATTTTTCTTTTAACATTCCTTTGATGTTGTTAATCTGTTTGTTTCTTGTATGATTCAGGGATCTGTCTTATAACCTGCTGGAAGATTTACCCTGTTTTACTGCGTGCAAAAAACTCCAAAAAATGTAAGTGCTAAACTGCCCTAAAAAGCTTAAAAAGAAGCATTTATGTGTGTTTGAGTATAATTAACTTGGGTATTGCTGGCCAATTTGACATACCCCAGATACACTTCATTGAAGTGCATCATAAGCACAATCTAAAACACCCGAAAGTGCCTTCCAAGTGTCTTTGAAACTGAGGAGATCCTTATTGCTATTTCAGTGACTTGCATCACAATGAAATCGCTGAAATCAGAGCAGACACGTTTCGGCAGCTGGCTGCTCTTCGGTCTCTGTGAGTACCCCCTAAGAGACATTCACACAGGGTCTGCAAATGTATGGGCTGTATGATGTCTGCTCATGATGTACCCCAAAAGATCCTTATTTCAGTTATGGTCTCACTATGATCTTTCACCATGAGTCCATAACTGTGAAAGGAGAGCAAACATTGCGAAGTTTAGCATCTGCAGCAATGAATTTAAATATATAAGCTGATAGCCATAAAAACTGTCACTTCTAAATGTTTCTGATGGAAGTGGAGAGACTTACTGAGCCAGAGCTGGTATCTGTTGGCAGGTTCACGTTATAATCAGCTCTAGGGAGTGGGAAATCCTTTTACAGAGAACAGCATCTTAAGATGTGGAGTCCAGTCATGTGCCGGTTTTCATTTTTCACACAGACTCATGTGCTAGAGGAGAAATTTTGTCAGGAAATTACTCATGGTTGTAATTTTTTGCAGAATTGAATCCATACATTTTTTTAAGAGTTGTTTTCAGTCTTTTTTACTTTCCAGGGGTGGTGAAAATTGACATTAGGAAGTTAAGCCTATTGACCATGGATTTGCTGTTCTTAGTCACATGAGAACACTTTAGCCACATAACCCACCCTTCTTTCTGCTGCATTAGGAGGCTGTGAAGCAGACTGAAATGCCTTGTGCTGTGGCAGGCATTGAGACATTTTAAGTTGTCAGTTTAATAACACCACAACTGACTAACAAAAAAGGGAAAAAATTCTTTGCACTATGAGGTATGCAGGAGCTTATTGAAAATATTGGCATGTAATTAATACCTTTTTTATATTTAGGCTTCCTAATCAAGTGTTTGAAAACTTCCATATTCACTCAGCGGGTATGTAATTTTCTACTCTCTTTTCTCGTAGGGATTTAGCTTGGAACAAAATTAAAATTATTCACCCCAATGCTTTCTCCTCTTTACCATCTCTGATCAAATTGTAAGTATTTGAATATCTTACACATTCAATTTTGCATTTTTCTTGCAAGAGCATACAAAAATTTAATAACTTGGTGCTCCAGCAGAAATTGAGGGTTTCTCTATTCTAATCATCTGGTCCATTGAATCCATATCTACAATGCCGCCTGCTTTCTTGTACTTTCCCAATTGACTCAGGTATTACAGCAAAGCTGCATACAATACTGTGGAATCATTTGGGGTCCGTGAAGATTATCAGTGCATCTGCCTCTTTTCATTCAATTTATTAGCAGTTAATCTGTTGTAGCAGTGGTAAATATTTCCTGATAGTTGTGTTTCAGGCCTCAGGAATTGGATTAAAAATTAAATAAGAAACTTTTTCCAGAATGCATCTTTATTTCATTGTTCCTCTTTTGATGAAATAGTTTTTCTTCTTTAGTAAGTTCAGCCAGAGCAGTTAGTGGTCAAAACATTACCAGCCAGTTCTGCAGGCCTTGTTCACAAGCTCTTCTTAATGCTTACTAATTTTTTTCCCTACTTCCAACTGTCACTGTAATGCTTTTTTAATATGAATCCCTGAGGCATTGGCTGTATGGGGAAGATGTGAAAAAAAATTCCTCTTGAGTCATCTTGCTGCATGGCTGTCTCAAAAATATGATGCTGGACATTTGCTTACAGGTAATCTGGTAGCTGCTTAACCTTAATTTGGAGAGGTATTAATTTCTGTTGATGTGCAAAGCCCTCTGAATGGTGCACTGACAAATGCCCACAGTTTTGTCTAAAATATCCCTTTTGGAGCCCTTCTCAAAATCTACCTACTTTGTGATGTGAGCAGTAAATTGTAGCTTTGGACAAAAACATACAACAATCTGACATACAACAGTCAGAGGGGGTTAAAGAAAAAAGCCCTTGAACACACAAACAGTAACACAGTGTACCAGTGTTTCCTGAAATGGTAGTCTCTAACCTTGGTCCAACTCAAGTCAGTGGTCATTTTTACTATTGCAATAGGACCTGAATTTCACCTTTGGTATTTAATGGTGCTGTGTGCAAGAAAACACACACTAAGCCAGACAGGTAGAAGCCCAGTCCATCAACATAGCTTATTTTATGTCTAGGCCTTAGATTTGAGTGTATAGTCCAGACTTTCCTTGTTCAGCCCTGGACATAAAAGCATTTTGACTGCATCAGACTCTGCTTCTTCCTCCTTGACTGTTAACCATTTGAAGTATTGCAGAGTAGATAATTGTGAGGAAGACTGAAAAGACTCATTGAATAAATGGGGGAGAGAGATCAAAATAGAAAACAGTACCTCTAGACTATCTTTTTTTCACTGCTTTGCCATATCTCCTTGATCACTTACCACTTTTTCATTCTCCTGTTTTACTTTCCCCAAGTTACCTGTCTGTGTTCATCTGCACTGTTCTGTCTTCCCTCAGCCACTCAGACAAACTTCAGCTTGGAAATATCATCTCCCTCTGCTCCAGCCCACAGCTGTCCTTTCCTGAAGCACACACCTTCTCCACACACCTGACCTACTCCTTGGGGAGCTTTCAGGGCAGCCATGCCCTGCAGCATCTCACTGAATCTTTTGAACTGTGGGAAGCTGTTCAGCTCCTTTGAATTCAAGTAGTCTAGGGAGAAGATTTTACATTCATTTGCTAGTCTCGAAACTGCCACTATGAATGTTTTGAGTCAAAATTTGGGAGCAGGGACCCAACTGACTATAAGCTGTTACTGTTAGCTTTCTGCTACACATAAAGGTGAGTACTCCTGAGCAGTACTGTAGCTTTGCTGCATTCACTAGGGTCTCTGTTTAATACAGTCATCTTTTATTGAGTTAGACCTATTTTTAAAACCTATTAAGTTTAACCTATTGAGTTTAACCTATTTTTCCAATGTGACACTTCTAGCACTGAAAAAAAAAAAAAAAATGAAAACCATAAGCTGATTTTTATTTGCTGTTACGCAGGGATGTGTCATCCAACCTTTTGTCCTCTTTTCCTGTGACGGGGCTACATGGTTTAACTCATTTAAAATTAACAGGAAATCATGCCCTACAAAGTTTGATAACATCTGAAAATTTTCCAGAACTCAAGTGAGTATATCATTAAAACTAATAAGCCACATTTGTGTTCATGTGCAATGGAAGGTGTGTCAGTGTGTAACCCATGTTACTTCGTATTGTCACTCTTTGATCTGTGCCATTAAAACTAAAGCAAATATGATAAAAATGATAGACTTCTTTTATTATGCTCACTTTCAACTGAAGAAACTATGAAGGTTTTGAAATATTAACCCCAGTACTTGCTTAGTACAAGCCACATCTGCTTCCTGGTGATATGTTTCAAAAGCTGTTAAAACAATATCGCTGGCAGCCTAGTGATATGTCCTTCTTCTACTGGACTGTGCTTACAGAACTCCCATTATATGGAATGAGAACACAGCAAATACAAGGGAAGAATATACTGCTGAGAGACCAAAAGATTTCACCTCTTTTGCTTGAACATGATTTTTCTGTAATCTTTTGATTAGGATTTAGATAATACTTTGCCAGTATTACTAACACACATTGATACTAATGATTTCTGTGGGTTCTCTGTGATACAGGAAGGAAGTGTCCTCTAAAGATCATTTGCAGCTCTGCTTGTCACTGGATGACCATGGCCTGTATGGAGCTTGAACCCACGACCTTGGCATTACTAGCACCATGCTGTAACCAAATCAACTAATTTCAGGGCCACAGCACAGAGGGTTTCTGACTTCAGGACATTTGGGAGTTTCCCCTTACTCTCCTTTCATTTTACATTTTAATTAGAAGATGCCAAGTGCAACATACACTTTATCATGTTTTACTGTAAAAAGTTTGGTATCAGAAAATATGAAACAACTGAACAGTGTGCACATAATTACAAAATCATGGAGTGGTTGAGGTTGAGAGGGACCTTTTAGGCTGTCTTGTCTAACCAGCTGCTCAGGCAGGGGCACCTGGAGCCCGTTGCCCAGGACCACATCCAAACAGCTTTTGAATATCTCCAAAGGTAGAGAGTCCATCCTTATGTTTTCACTAGATTTGCCTTTTGCACTGGAAAAGGCCCAAGAGTCCTAGCAGGCAGACAGCTCAAGATGTGAGCATTATCAAAAAGGACTGGAGTGTTTGGAGTTACCAGTAAGGGGATGATGAATGAAGTGCAGAGCTGATTAAGGCTCTGTGTACAGCAGTGGAGGGATCCACCCTAGGACACTTCCGGGATGGCATGCTAATACAAACTGAGATAAGAGCTGCAAAAAAATGGCTCCAAGGTTAGGAAACAATGCCTTAAAGGTCTACCCAAAAATGGTAGTTTGTCACAGAGGAGATTAGGCAGTGACTTCATCAAGTGCATGGAACTATAACATTATCATTCAAAGTACTAGAGGCTTAAACCTCTTTTACATTAGAGATCTTGAGGTAGGTCTCAGAGGCTAAAGAGAAAGTACCATAAAAATCATGATTGGTTGAGACTGACCTTCTATCATACTTTTTCTGCTCTCACTGGCTTTGCACAAATGCTGAGGTAGTTAACAATTCTAAAATAATTGAAATTTCTTTAAAAAAAAGTAAACACAAGAAAATTGATTACTCCCACCTGACAAATATGTAATGACGCATTTACCATGACCTAGAGGCGTAAGAGGTGTTGCAGTAGTCCTAGAATAATCCATTATTCAACTAAATTATGTATAACTAAGATTTTTTTTAAATTCTTTTCTTAATATTATACTCTATATTAATTTCCCTTCAGCAAAATTGTGTACATTACTCAAATGAAAGTACAGTGTATTTCATCTGGGCACATTGTTAACAAGGATGTGTCAAACTAACTGAATTATTTTTAAAAATGTATTCAAAATATGATATTTAGAGTTAACATGTTAATTAATGTTAATTAATGTTAAGAACAAATTATACCCAGTCAGGAGAGAACAGGGTAAAATCCTGACCTGCAGCCTGCATGATTGGTACAATAAATCGAGATGAGGATTTCACACAGGATCACCGCACAAAGTACCAAATTTGAACAGAGGTCTAAAACAAAATGAAATTTCACCCTTTGCAATTGTTGTAACTAGCCAGTGATTACATTAAAGACAAATTTCTGTATAAAACTTCCTACTCATTTAAATTCATCAAAACAGACACATCAAAGAGTTGAGCATCCCCTTCCCCATCATCAGCAATAGCACTAGTGCACTCTGCAGAGCTGAGCCCAGCCTATTACAGCAAGCCTTGAGGAAGCAAAGTCAGGCTGCCAGCCACTCCTTCCATCTTTATCTGATGCTTTGATTCAGTGCTAAAAAGAACTCAGTGCTTTGCTCCATTCATCATAACTGTGCCTTCCTGTTCACCATTAACTCCGCACCTTTGTGAGGGAGAAAACGACCTTGTGTTCTCTGCTGCTTAATCTAAAAACAGAAAAAAGAGGCATTACTTGCTAGAGGGAAAAAAAATTATCAAGGGTACAGATATCATTAGTAAGATAAGGAGTATATAAAAATAAAGTTAGCCAGTGTTTCTAAGAGAGTTTAATTTGACAAAGTCTAAATCTAATCACACACATCAAATAAGCACCAGCCATAAAGAGGACTGCCTCTAGCACTGTACACCTGAGAGTTCCTTCTCTTTTTCTTTTTTGTTTTGTCTTAAATGTAGCTTTTGTGAGAAAAACATTCCTCTGTCACCAAGAAGATCTAATATTTATTTCCCTGCTTTGCAAAAAAAGTATGTTTTGTCCTCTGTGATCTGGGTTGCAGCCATTGTGTGCAGTCGGTCTTTGCACACAGATTAAGCAGCATTTGCTGATTTAAGGATTTTGTGTATATCCTAATAACACAGGCTGGGGAGGGGAAACAAACATAAACTGCTCAGATTTAAGAATGGATTCTAGAAATACCTACAGAGAGGATAAGAAATGGGAATCTTACTCTTTAAATATCATTTAAAAGCCATGGATATTTTTGGCTACATCATCAAAGTAGCGGACCAGTACAATGTGGGAAGTCCATGCTTCCAGTGTATGACAGGCCATACAGCTGTTTGAATAATCAGAGAACAGAATACATTTCTGTCAGTCTCTTGTGCCTAAAATATCCACTAACTGTTCATTCCCCTAGCTATATCAATGTCCTTCCAAAGGTCTGAAACCACAAGTTTCAGGGATCACCTTACAGAACTGTCAGTGTTACTTCTGATAATTATTTTTCTGTTGTTCCAGAAAAAGGGTATTTCTGCTTGGGGATCGGGATAGTTTTTATCCCAGATGATTAGCTATGGGTTAGTCTAGTAATCAATGGGTTTTAATAATGATTTATTTAAGAATAATAATAAGGCTTCTGGATAATGTGTTCAGAAATATTTAATCAAGATAATCACCTTATGTTAAAAGATGGCATGCAGATGAATGAGTTAGAAATTAAATATTTAAATCTGCTGGCCTGAGGTTGCTTGACCATAGATACTGGTTATCTTGAAATTTTATTGAGTATCCAAAAAATTTTGTATTGATTATTGTGGTTAATTTCTAACAGAAATTTAAGTTTATAGAATCTTAATGATCCCAAATGCACCAATTTAAAAAAATCACGTCAGAATTTTTTTAAGATTCTGTTTTTTCCCCTTTGTCCCAAGCTTTTGGCTAGTGCACAGGTTTAAGTCCTGTTGGCACTGGGCCTGATTCAGCTTGATTTCTCTGCAGATTTCCCAGGGGGTTAGAGGTTGCTTATTACGCTCATTATGTTAATTTACATGATTAACCTGTTGAAAGTAATCTGATAGGAGGATCTAGTTCTGCTTTATTCCTTTCAAGTCAATTCAGAATAACTTCTAATCACCTATTTATCTTTGAACTTTTTGGTTTATTGGGCTTTTGGAATTAAGGTGAGTTGTTAGGTTTTACTATGGGCTGTTGGTGAACTGTGCAAATTAAATAGCTCTGCTTCCAAAGCAAAAATATATCTATGGAATAGAAGTAGTCAATAGAACTCAGATAGTAGTTCTTCTGTGTTCCCCCAGAATTTGTACATCCTTAAAGGAATTAAATTCACAGTGTACCAGAAATGTGCATTTTTCTGACAACAGCAGCCCTCATAATCATTGGAACTCACTGACATATATCATTATGGGTTAGGAATAAAAATTATCTTAAAAGAATTAAGAATTTTTGTGTCCTGCAATGACTGTTCTCATTTTTAAGACAATTAATACAGTAAAACCTTTCTCTCAGTGACGTTTCATACACAATGCCTGATTCATTCACCTTTTTGTTTAGAACACTGCTTTCTTGATCTTCTGCACAAGAAACAATTTCCTTTTTCCCATCTTACTGTGAAATGAGTTAAATGTGGAAAGAAGTGAATAAAGCTTGATTTCCAGAAGATCTCGTTCTCCCTATAGTGGAGAAATTAAATTTGGGAAGTGTTTTGTTTTTGCTTGGTAGGCAGGTTGTGATCTTCAAATGTGCTTTTTTTAAAAAGAAACAGTAAAGAAAATAACTGTTGGAGAAAGCATTGATTTACACAGCAAAATCATTGAAAAACAAAAACAGAAATACAGCTCTGGGTAACATTTACTCAAGAGCAAGACATAGATCTCTCATTTTCATGTCTCCTATGAAAACATAAGAAAACTTCAGTATGCCTTTTCTAAAATTAGCCTAGAAACCATCTGCATTCCCAATGAGGAGTATTATTTGTGAATGCTCATTTTGTATTATCATGACTGATTTTTACCCAGAAATGTTTTTACATTCAGTTGTGGATATTTAAACTATTTCCTTTGTGTTAACTGTATAGGAGCAGTACCATCCAGTAACTCCGGTGCTTAACCAGTATCATGGCATGCTGCTTTATTCTTCTGCAGGGTCATGGAAATGCCATATGCCTATCAGTGCTGTGCCTTCGGAGCTTGTGAGAACCACTACAGAATCTCCAGCCAATGGAACAAAGATGATAATAGCAGCATTGATGACTTACATAGAAAGGATGCTGGACTGTTACAAATTCAAGGTAACCATCATCTCAGGCTTTTAAATCTACCTGAGGGCTGTGAGCAACCTGTGATTATAAATAAGTCCAATACTCTTTACAGTTGCAGAGGTGGCCTCTCCCTGTCTCTTGCTCAAGAAAATGTTATTTAAGTATTTCTGTGCTTAGCAACCTTATTATCTTAGGTCTGCCATTCAAAATCTCACTCACTCACGCACTCATCTTTTCATCCAAATAATAGCTATAATAATGTGTTAAATTACATCTTCCCTTTAGATGAGAGACAGGGTAGTTCAGCTTGTATGTAACTCCACACTAAGAGCAGGCCAGCAAAGATGTAGTTTCTTGCCAGTCTCAGAATGGAACACATCCTAGGCTTACCCACACACTTCAGGATGAGTAATAGCCAAAATATGTGGCTCCTTTGATGCCACATATTTCATAGAATCATTGAATAAGCTGAGTTGGAAGGGACCCACAAGGATCACCAAGTTCAACTCCTGACCCTGCACAGGGCAGCCCCAAGAATCACTCCATGTGCATGAGAACATTGTCCAAACACTTCTTGATCTCTGACAGGCTTGGTGCTCTGACCGCTTTCCTGTGGAGCCTTTTCCAGTGGACAGCCACCTTCTGGGTGAAGAACCTTTTCTCGATATCCAACCTAAACCTCTCCTGGCTCAGCTTCATGTAATTTCCTTGAGTCCTGTCCCTGGTCATGAGAGGAAGAGCTTGGTACCTGCCCCTCTGCCTCCCCTTGTGAGGATGTTGAAGATGAACAAGGTCTCCCCTCAGTCTCCTTCAGGCTGAACAAACCAAGTAACCTCAGCTTCTCATACAGCGTCCCCTCAAGGCCCTTTACCATCCTCGTGGCCCTCCTTTAGAAGCTCTCTAATATCTTTAGCTTTATCTCTTTCTTACATTGTGGCACCCAAAGTACCCCCAGCACTTGAGGAGAGGCTGCCCCAGCTCAAAGCAGAGCAGGACAATCCCCTCCCTTGCCCAGCTGGCCATGCTGTGCCTGATGCCCCCCAGGACAGGGTTGGCCCTCCTGGCTGCCAGGGCACTGCTGGCTCCTGTTCAACTTGCCATGGACCAGGACCCCCAGGTCCCTTTCTGTGGGGCTGCTCTCCAGATCCCCAGTCTGTGCACATAAACAGGGTTGCCAGAGAGTTCATTTGTTCTCCAGGACATGAGACTACTGCATTTGCTTCCCCTTCAGATCTAGGTCTGTTACTTGATCTGTTACATAGGTGTACGCATACATTTACACCACCCTATTGCTTTCTGTGCTATCCCTGCTCCTGCAAACCAGTGGGTCTCAGAGTTCAGCAAGAATAGAGCCAAGAATATTTGCTAGTGATGACATCAGAAACACAGAAAACTTGATTAATTCTTAGTAGTATGGCACAACAGCAAAATTCATATTTTAAACTCCTTCCTAGGCAGTCATCACACTACAAATTAGGCAATAGAGAATGTACCTGTAAGTTTTTGACTTTTGACTTTTTTGAAAACAGTAATCTGACTGTTTTCAGAGAAGTAAAGATGCCAACTTTTAAAGTAATCCTGAGTACAGTAATTCAAAACCAAGTAGGCATATGTCTGCTTCTGCTTACGGTTCAGCAGGCAGAGGGACGAGACCAGGCCTTAAATACTATAGGCATTTTTGCAACTTTTACTAAAATATTTTCCTGAAAATTGCAGTAACAATTATGGGTTTTTTCTCCCCAATAGATGAACGTGATTTTGAGGATTTTTTCCTTGACTTTGAAGAAGATTTGAAATCTCATCATTCAGTGCAATGCTCACCTTCTCCAGGTATGAAACTGCCAGACAGATAGGAATTCAAGGACAGTGTTAGTAGATATTCAAGATGCAGAACAAACTGTGAATCAGATACTAGACACTAGCAACATGATGTACAGTAATTTTATGAGTCTTATACAAATACACTGCACAATAATATAGTTTTGCATTGAATTCCAGGAAACTATTCAGCCACTATATTCCTCCATGAGTGTAGCAAAAGTTTTGCCCAGTCACCAAGCAGATACTTACTCTGGGCCCCTTTTCACCAGAATTGATACCCAGTCAATAAAGTGAGAGAGGAAAGACTCTTCGACTAAGATACAGATGATAAAGGTAGCAGAATGTTTTCTCTCTCAGTCTTTTGCAAAGCTAAAGTAATTCTTCTGAATGTCACAGAGTTATTTTATACGTGAACAACTTGAACAATACACAATTTAGTTCTGTGTCTGGGAAATACCAAACACTACTGCATTGATGTTTGCAGTCCCTCAGAAAGGACACACAGCACTGTCATTTTCTTTGTAGAATGTAGCCAGCCATGGTCATAAGTTTTGTATGTTTGATTCACTAGCCGTTGTTTCATTGTGAAACATGAACAAAAAAAACCCAAGTGACTGCTTGTACTTCAGCATTCATTTTAAGCCATGATTCTTGTTTGCAACAGCAACTTAAAGTAAATTTCTTTAGGTTATATAAAGAGGAATAGAAAAGGCAGGAAGCCAAAGAATAGTTATTTGACTGTCACATATTCTCCAGTGGCCTAAATATAATTTCTGAGTTCATCAAAACATTGCTGTCTTCAAGGTAAGTTATTACCAGACCTGAGAGAAATTTTAGGTTGGATTTTTCAAATAGTATCTTAGAAAAACTTGCAAACTGGCACAATAGCTCCTTGTGTTTACTTAATGGCAACGGCCATAGTTGTAGGGAGGTCATTTCAGCTGCAGGGTTTATGTCTTCATGGCAAAGCACAGGCCACTGTGAGGGGCTTGCTCTTCTGGCTCGTACCAAGACATGTAAGGTTTCTCTGACTGCAGAGCATTCAGCTTCAACTGCACAGCATATGCAGCTCAGTTCCATGAGAATGTATAGCAAACTTCAGTCATAATGACCTGACTTCAGACACAGGAGATCCAAAAAGGCAGCACCCCCAAACACAAAGAGAGACACAATTTTCTTGGACTGTGTAATGACGTGTTATAAGGTAGCTGAAGTACATCTGTCCGTATCCATTACATCATGCTTCACCAGGACTCTTTAGGAACCTGTTTTAAGTTAGTGAGAGGTAACATTTCCAGCTTTTTTCGCATACTGACAAATATCACAGCATTTCTTGAAACTACAAGACTTGACATTCATATTGCAGTAGTACTGCCAGGCATGAAAATAAACCCATAGACTACTCATGATCAAGGACAAAAACTCATGTGCACCACTAATGCAAAATGCATCACACATTTAGCAGCATGTTACAGATTACTCCAAAGAAAGACCAAATTTCCAGCTCCCTTTTTAGACTAAAATTCACTCTTTGGCTGTGCTGAGAATATGTGAGAAGCATGAGCTTTAGTGTCTTAGAAAGCGCAAGGGTTTGTGTTTTTTTGTTTACATGGGCTTCCCTTACCCTTTTTATTTTGGCATTTCAGGTCCCTTCAAACCATGTGACCATCTGTTTGGTAGCTGGCTGATCAGAATTGGAGTGTGGACCATAGTGGGTTTGACCTTTGTTTGCAATGCACTGGTGTCCGCTACAGTTTTCAGATCTCCATTGTATATGTCCTCCATAAAACTTTTGATTGGTTTAATAGCCATTGTAAATGCTCTGATGGGTCTGGCCAGTGGCGTACTGGCTAGTGTGGATGCATCCACTTTTGGTAGCTTTGCTCAGTATGGAGCACAATGGGAAAGTGGAATTGGTTGCCAAATAACTGGTCTTCTCTCAATTTTTGCATCAGAGGCTTCTATATTACTCCTTACCCTAGCTGCACTTGAACGTGCGTTCTCTGTAAAGCATGCTGCAAAGTTTGAAACAAAATCCTCCATTGCTAGCATAAAAATTGCCACTTCTTTTTGCTTTATGTTGGCACTAATCATTGCAGTGATTCCCCTTCTCACTGGAAGTGAGTATGGAGTTTCTCCACTTTGTTTGCCGCTCCCGTTTGGAGAGTCCACTGCTATGGGCTACATGGTAGCCCTGGTATTGCTGAACTCCCTTTGCTTTCTGGTAATGACTGTTGCTTATACAAAGCTCTACTGTAGTTTAGAAAAGGGAGAGCTAGACAACATTTGGGATTGCTCTATGGTCAAACATATAGCCTTGCTACTTTTTACTAATTGCATTCTTTATTGCCCTGTGGCCTTCTTATCTTTTTCCTCCCTACTGAACCTCACTTTTATCAGCCCAGAAGTGATTAAGTCAATACTTCTAGTGATTGTCCCACTGCCAGCATGTTTAAACCCACTGCTTTATATACTTTTCAATCCACATTTTAAGGAGGATTTGGGAAGTCTGCGAAAGCAAACTTTGATATGGAGGAGATCAAAACATGCTAGTCTGATCTCTGTGAATTCAGAAGACATAGAAAAGCAATCTTGTGACTCAACACAGGCACTGGTAACCTTCACGAGTGCCAGCATATCATATGATATGCCCACCAGCAGTTCACTAATGCCACCCTCTTATCAAATGACAGAAGGCTGCAATATTTCGTCAGTTGCATTTGTTCCCTGTCACTAGTTGCAGAAACAGTACAAAAAATACCTCTGTTTACAAATTTTTTAATCCCAAAAGTAAGTGTGGATGTGTGCATATGGGTGTAGAGAAGTGCCTCTAAATTATTATGACACACCTCTGAAAACAGACAACGACAAAACTTGCGGCAGGATGAAAATCCAATACTTGAGCCTGCTCAGCCTGCTCCCGAAATGCTGAGATGAAGAGAGGAAATTAAAGCTGCTGAAGTTTGTGCAGTTGTATCAGCTGTTCTCATTTAAAGTAGCACTACTCAGAAAGGGCACCAGTTTTGGTCAAGAACAAAATAGCATATTAAATTTGTAACATTTTTTCAAAGTATGACCTGATGTTTTCAGGGGTTGGGTTATTTTTTTCCTGTTTATTGCAATTTAATAATAGTTTTTCAGTGCCATGATTGTTTTTGTAAGCATCTGTGCGTGGCCTTTGTTCAGCAAGATATGAAGAACAGAAGAGTAGTCCTGCTCAAGTCCTAAAGGCTTCTGCAGAACACCCTTTGATGAAGTTCCATGTTTGATAAAGCTGATTAAATGGTTTAACTGGCATTGGGTTTGGACTTTGGAAGTCATTTAACTTGACAAAACAATTTTAATTTTAATTGTCAGCAAAAGCTAGAAAATTAACATGATGTGAAAGAAGATAATCAAAATCCTGTTAAGCATTTAAAATGTAATTGTAAATGGCAAGGCATTGTCACATGGATTTTTTTCTAATGAGGTTCTGTACAATTGGGTCCTGAATTGCTTTCATGCCAGTAGAATTACTCCCAGAATTACTGATGATAAAATTGGCAGATGACTCATTTAATTTGAAGGTGGAAAATACTACATGGAAAGTCATCAATATAAAAAAATGGCATGCTGAGAACTATTAAAGGACACCAAGGGCACTCAGACAGAAACATTCATTTAAGGTAATTTGTCTAGGAACAAAAACTGTAATCCTGCTCATGACATGGTCTCTGTCTCATGAAACAGTGATTTTAGAAAGCTGCTAATTCATATTCACTAGTCAGTTGAAGATTTACAGGTCACTGTGTCCTCTTGGATAAGGATTACCGATATTCTTAGCCAAGGCAATACCAAGTAGGATTGAAGTGGTTGTGTAATTGTGTTCTTAGCACTGATGCAAGCACTCCCAGGATATTTCAAACACTTACTGCATTCACATGTTGTAAAGAACATTGTGAAATTGGAAAGAATATGAATATCATAAATTTAAAAGAACTTAAGAAATAAGTGATTTAATCAGAGTTTATAAGTAGCTTTTTCTGGGATACAGTAGTTTGAAGGCAGAGGACTACTCATCTGAGAGGAGAAAAATCTGGTATAGTCAACTGGAAATCGGCATTAGGGATATGCAGCATAGAAATAAAGGTGAAAATTGTTGATAGAGATGGTCATTAGCTAGTGAAATTATTGTCACCAAAAATCCTTAAATTCATATTGGATATATTGCCAAAAAAGATACTGGAGCAGCTGATGAAAGGCAGGGACTTCTGATGGCTTTAGTTTAGGAAAAGACTTGATTAGGTTAACAGAGGTCTCTGACTTTAAATCTGTTAATACTTTGCTGAATAAAGGCATGTATGTTTACACATCAGAAGCATCCTAGTTAAAAGAAGAGACTTCAGGTCCTTGCCAAGTCTACTGTTAAGATATCTCAAACAGAGCCACCTAGAGTATAATTCTTTGACCTCGTCCAAGCCATCAGGGGATATTCCAGTATTCTTTCCTCAGAGTTGGCACCTTTTACTTAAGTAAGCTGATTATTCAAGACAGAAAAATGCACAAATTTACCTATTTTTGTTGTTGTTAAAAAGAGCTCCCTGAGGAGTAACATTTAATAGCCCAGTTAATGGCCACTCAACCTCCAGGTGAATGAGACTAATTTTTTAACATTAGGAAGATTAGGCTAGGCCCAGCAATTAAGGTAATCCATTACAGATGATCTCTGTTGTTCATCTGTTCCTGTACATAAAACTTCCTGGGACTCCAAGGATGGATTTTCACAATGAAGAATTTGCTGCCAACAATGCATATGCCTTAATTTTCTTGTCCATTCACACTGGCATTTTTTTTAGTTTTGCAGTTACAGATGGCATCAGTTGACTTTGGCTGACATGTTCATCCTTCAGGGAAAAAAAATGAATCAGTTCTGAAATTATGTATGATAAAGTCAGCTGAGTACTTATCTTAATCCTTTATCTGTTGTGGCTTTTGAAGCAGTGCAGCACACAGCTGCAGAAACGATGCCTGAAACCAGTTTGGATTAAACAGAGGATCAGTCAACCATTGCACAATACCTATTACCATGTTTACTTAGCTTTAATTTAACTGGGGTCCATCTGTGCTGCTCTGCTTAATGTCAGTGAGGTTCCTTTCAGCTTGCTATATTTAAGAAGTCTGTAAAGAAATTTGAGAAGCAAAATGATGTTATAATTCTAAAGACTAGTTTAAGCTTCTTTTATCAGAACTTTTTTAGCTTGCAGAAGGTCCTAAAGGCTTTGTGTCTTATTTTTATAAGCATGTTTGAAATATTTTGATCAGATATTTTTAACTTGAAATTGTTAAAATTCATTTATTAGATTTTTAAAGTAAAATGTGTAAATATAGAACTGTATTTATTATTACAGTGAAATGCAGCTACAGTAAAGGACATGAGATTAAGCCTTGTACAGTTTCATATTGATATTTGCTATATTTTCTGCTCATATATGTTACTAGATGCATTATCTGTAAATAATATAATGTAAATGTGTAGTGATTGTAAATAGGTGACATGCTTTCTTTTCTATCAGTGTTCAGAACATATGTAAGTTGTAATAAAATGTGACTACACAGTAAAGAGCATTTAATCAATCATGACCTAACACTTCACAAAATGGTGTGCACTCTCAATTAATCCTTTCCAAGTTATTGTAATACTTACACTAACCTCCCTAAATGTGTGTAATTCTTGACAAAATATAAGTTACAGGTTGTGTGCCATAAAAATTTATATGAAGTACTTGAAAGAAAGAGGTAAAATACCAATGAAGCAAAAATTCTCAGAAAGCGATTGTTTAGTCAGGAATTCATATGGCAAGTAATGAATTACAAAGATTTTTAAAAAAGAAAGTAGAATTGTCCTGTATTTAAATGGATTTTAGAAGAGCATGCAGGTTCCTAGGATAGATGAGGCTGCTTTGGGGAAGGTCATTTCAGCCAGAAGGGCCTTTGCAGAAGAAGTTTGTTGGGTGAGTTTTAGAATAGTCTTACTGGGATAGGACAGGAGCAGAAGAGAATGGGAATAAGAAAGTCATTAATTATCTTTAGAAGCAAAAAAACAGAAGTGTGACAAAGAGCATAAGGGAGTGCATAACTCAGGGAGGAAAGAGGCCTTCAAGAGATAGGATGCAAATGGGTGGAGTTTTATGAGATATTAAGAAGCATGATGGAGTTTTGTGAAGAATGGGGAGCTCAGAGTGGATACAAAAAGATGGAAGTGTTGTGATGGCTAAGGACATTGAAATGGTGAGAAAACAAGCAAGTAAAGATGATTTCACATGCAGGTGTGCACCAGACAGTGTAAGCAATATTAGAGCCAGGAACCATAAGGAAGAAGAATGAAATTGCATTATTTTAGGAGGAAGATAGTACAAGTTGAGTAATGAAGGAAAAGAGAATACCTACAAAGGAGGAATGAGCTGGCTGGTGAAAGCCTCAGTGCAGAGGGGAAATACAGACACAAGGTTATACATCCTTATATGTGGAAGAAAGACTTTTACTAATTCACGTACCAAATAGTGAGCAGTCATGCCTGAAGTCACAACTTCAGTGTTCTGGGCAACGTGCTAGCACGCATGCACCAGGGACTTCTCTCTGAAAGCACTCACACCACAGATGTGGTGTTCTCTACAGTAACAACTGAAGGAGAGTTTACTGCAGGATCATGCACGGGGTTATTTAGGGAGAGCAAACAGAGCATGCCACTACTCTGACTCACTAGATACATTATTGAGTTTTATTTGGGAACTCAGTTCTTAGAGAAGTTGCAGATAGCCAAGGAAAAAGAGCTAGTCAGAGATACAGTGAAAGCCATAAAGAAGATGGGATCACCTATAAAATAATGGATAAAGGCCAAGCCATAGCAGACACTAGCAGAGCACAGGGAGTGCCACCACGGAAGCAGTGCTGTACCAGGTGGGCATGCAGTTTCAGTCTCTGCCCCTAAAAGAGGGGAGAACATCCCTGACTAATCTGGTGATCATAATTGATCTCAAATGGAGACCAGCCACTTGTGCAGGCCTTGCTGTTGCTGCTGCTCCATATTTGCCTCCTATCTCTGTGACCTATGTGTACTGGAGAACAGTGATCTTTGAATACTAGCCAGTGAGAAAGCTGCTATCATATAAAGTATCAAACTATCTCCTATCCAAATCATCTCTAATAGGAATTTCAGCTTATCAGGGGCACCAGTTATTTCCTCTGACTCTTCCATTAAACACTGTCATAAAAATATCATAATCAGACATTTCTCTGTCATAGTTTAGGTTGCTATATGAAAGGTAAGGTGATGAAAATTTAGTTGAGCAATCACTTAAGAAGGGCTCAAATAATTAAAAATGTAGCAAAAGTAATGTTTTCCTTTGGAAAACACTGAAAAACAAGATAGTAGAGACAGAAGAGTAAGAGCATGGATACAAAAAGCTAACAGTATAAAAACATAAGTAGTATCACTACAGCAGCAGCAACAGTGTCAGAAAATTATTTACAGATCCATGAAGCGCAGTAATTGTGCAGATACTCAGGTGCTGCAGAGGACAGCTCTCAAACTCCAGGAGAGCTGTAGTGCTTACACCAGCAAGGGAAGCACCTCATGTTCTCCTTCATTAACATGTGCCAAACAAGGGACAAGTCTGTCATTCTGCAACAATGTTATTGTGAAAAATAATTGTGAAAAATACTGTGAAGCTAAGCCTGCAAAACTGATTGAACTCTATATGTCTTTGCTTGAACAGAATCTCAGCTACTTGTGATTAGAAATTTTAAGGGAAAATCAAATTTATCCATGCTAACATATAAAGCAGAAGAGATTCCATGTGTTATACCTAACCCTGGCAAATAAAAGGCAGTATCAACATTAGGAACATCTTCTTCACATAATGAATCACAGACTTGTGCTCCAGTGGCTCTGGAGACACAGTTAACATGAGTATGTTCTCTCCATAAAACAATTTGTTGTGGCATTGTCAAAATTATGAAAAGATCCAATCTCAGTCATAAGAAAAAACAAACATTAAGAATATTCCTCTTGAGAGCTGGCCCATAGCCAGGGTTTCTAAAAAACTTAGTCACAGACAAAGAGTCCACTCAAAATCCCCATTTAATTTTTTCACAGGTGGCAACACTTCCACTTGTGAAGTAAAAAATATGCTTTGTTTACAAGAGGAAAACTGTCTATCTGTGAATCTAAATACTTCCACTAAGTTTTATGCATGCACATACCAGAGTCTTCTGCAGCCAGCCTCGAAGGTCTCAGGACTCTAAAACTGATTCTTGAAGGAAGTTTCAAACATCTCCTTCTGCATCTGGTGTCATTCTCTTTATGCAATCACTGTTTTGACAGGTGTCTGCAGTTATTAGTTTGGTTCCATACATAAGAACAGCTTCTCAGGACTATCTATAGAGGTCACTGCAGTTACTATCAACATTTCCCATTTATGAACAAAGCTATTCCTGGCAGAAGGAGTACTCCCAGCCTTCTAAGAAAAATGTAATAGGGAAGATTGTTCTACTCAAAACAGGTGTTTCATCTCCCATAGGAGGTACCACAGCCTTCTGGGAAGTCCTTCTAGATCTCTTTATTGGTTGACTATGCAAATAAACTCCAGAGAGCTTTGTATGGCCAGAGAATGAAGGCTGGAGTATGAAATCGATGCTTCGGTGTGAGACGCTGAAAAAGTTCAAGTGGCTCAAACAGTTGGCCATTCACAAAACCAGCGGGTGTTTTGCTGACCACAACATGCAGAGAAACAGCCCAGGTGCAGATGGGGTGCACACCCTCCACCAGAGGTTACAAGCAGGGGTTTGAGCCAGATAAGGGAAGAGGCCTGTAAGAAGCAGGTCCTGGGAGATGGGATAGTGCTTTTTATCATGCCAGGGTCCTACGTTTCGTAACTGGCTCAGGTGTAAAACTTCCCTCTGTGGGGGATACTGGGACATTCACATGTAGGTCTGAAGGTTCATCCCTGCAATAGGGTAAATTGGCCCAACTGTGCTGATGTGGGAGGCAGCTGTCATGTCTTAGAAGGTGTCATAAACCATCAAAGATCCCTGAGGTGCCACGTGATCCACAGTGTCGCATCAGTGTGAAACTGCCCCATCAGAGGAGGTACCTGGGTGTTCCCACTGAGCCTGAGCATATATTAACACACTGGATTTTGTGTTTCTTGGGCTTCCTCCACCCCGGCAGATCAACTGCCACCATCACTTTGACCAACAGACATCTAAATTGCAACAATCAAGTCTCACCGCTGCATCCAAGGATGGTGACTGTATACCTTTCTCCCTCTTTTTTCTTTCTCTCCACTTTCTGTTTTTCTCTCTTTCTTATTCTAACTTCCTCTTCTCAAAATATATTGTAAGCCAGACTAAAAACTTCTAGTAAGTGCTTTGCTATGTCTGGATAAGTTAAAGGTGGCTACATTTAAGTTTGCGAAGCTAAAGTTTGTGATGTTCATTACTTTGTCTGGATTTGGTTTTAAAATGTGACAAGTACCTTAGTCTGCCTTAATGTTCTAAAGCTTTCAAGCAAATGCTTGTTACTGAGCCTTCTGAGAATTTTGCTATTTCTCCTGTGCACCATCCAGAGTGAATCAAACAATATTCCCCTAAACCTGTGGAGTGGGTTGCAGCATAACATTTTAATGCATGAAGTGGGAAAACAGTTTCCTGACATAACTGAATGCCTTACTGTGAATGCAAAGTATGAGGAGATTTTCTTTATTTGATATATATTTGTCCTAGTATACATATAATCCTCCAAATTGTTGGAATTTCCCATGGTTTTTTGTTAGGGGGGGGTTTGCTGGGGTCTGTGTGTTTTTTCTGGGTTTTTTGGTAGGTTTGGACAACAGGACATACTCTGGAAAAGCCTCTGCTCCCCTGGATACCCAGTCCTGCTCAACCTGGTCAGCCAAGAGGCCTTCTCCATCCTATTCTGGAGGACTTGGAGAGCTAAAGACACCAAGTCCTAAGATGTTGAAGAATATGCCTCTAAGAGACAATGACATTCTTGCTGAGCTGAAATAAGGCAATAAAGCACACAGGATGGAAGCTAGGAACACTGACAGCAGAGTTTGGCATATGTTCATTATCACAG